AGAAGGAGCTGTTCCTACACTGGAAGCAACATTTTTCTCTGCTCGCCTCTCCACCATCAGAAATCACTCCAGGAGAAGGTGTTGCCATCCAAGGCACAAATATTGTTATTTTCTACTTTTTTTTTTTTTTTCCCAGTTCCAGGTTTTTGTGAGAATTACTGGTGAGAGAAAGCTTTTCCTGCCTTCCCTTCCCTGAGGAATGACGTTACCAGCAAGCAGGACACATTTACCCCTGCCCCACCTTCCCATGGGCCTAGAGGAGTCAGGGATGGCAGGAGACCAAGAATAACACAAGATATTCTCCAGCATCACGGAGACAGTGAAATTGATGCATTTTTAGGCTATCTAAAAACAGAGGCCAGACAAAATTAAGGGAATAAAAAGCAGTTCTATTTATTGAAGGGCCTTTAAGTATATTTAGGGCAGGCAAAACCCAGCCAAAATGGACCATGGCTCATGGGTTTTCCCATTTTTATGAGTTTGATCCATTTGCAGATTGGGGGTTAACCTTCCAATTCCAGCTTCAGGAAATGAAGGAATTTACCCCAAGTTTGCTGCCCCCAACTCACTTTTGTTTCCATCTCTCAGGCCTGGGGCAGTGAGGTGTCCTTGATTCCCAGGCCTGGAGAGGAATTGCTGTGTCTGCCCAAAATGTGTCTGCCCACACTGCACGTGGAGTGTAGAGTTCTGCACTGAAGAGCTGCAGGGTTACAAATCCATGGAAAATAGAAAAACTGAAATGCTAAGGCATCAAAATCAGGCAGGGAGAGCCCCTGGGGGAGCCCACTGAGACCTGGGCAAAGCCACAGATGCAGGAACTCAAACAGTTTGAGCAATCCAAAGGCTGCTCAGTCAAGTCCAGGGTGAGCAGTCCCAGATTTACCCTGGGGATATACCTGGTGCTGCTGGGCATATTCCAGCTGGCTGTGCCATCCCATCCTGGCCTGGCTGTGCCAGTGCTGACAACAGGGAAAACCCTTTGACCCTGAGGAAACAGCCCTGACTCATGCACAGAGTGAGGCCAGTGAGTAACTTGGTGCTGCTCACACTTCGCTGACTCCAACTCGATTTCTTCCACCTCTTTTTCCCTTCAGCTTTAACCAGTTCCTTGCTGGCTGGTGAAAAAACTCAGCCAGATTGTCCTACCATGAACTAATTCCCTTAAAAATTCCAAACTATTAATTTTTCACCTGCTGTGCCAACTCCTTGCTCACAATTCCACATCCTTTTCTTAACACCAATCATTTTACAAGTGAGAAAGGAATTCCAAAGTATTCCAGCTGCTGAGAGGCTCCAGGAGTGTTTTTTTCTAGACCTGGACACACCAAAGGCAGTGACATTCCCTCAGCACAACACCTGCCTGAGCAGCAACAAGTGCCAATTACTGAAAAAGTAATAAAAACACCAATTTTTTTAAATAGTTCATATTTTCTACTTCAAACAAAATTTTAGCCACTTCCATTTAGCCTTGTCAAGGTGCCACTGTCCATTCAAACTCCTCCTTTTTCCCATTATTTTCCAGAAAATTCCAGCTACATTCAAGGGGGACAAGTCTCAGTTTTAGGATTCTTAGTGTCCACACAAGGAGCAAGACAAAACAAATCCCTAAATCTGGGATTTGACACAAAGGTGAAGTATCAGATGGTTTTCTTAAATTCTCTGACTCACAGAGCTCCTTGTTTCAGTTTTATTCCTCAGTTTTGTAGGGAAAGTGAAGCAAGAACGGATTCTTCCACAGGAGAACCGGAATCTGTGTTTGCTCCAAGATACCTCAGATGTTTACAGGAGCTACAGTTATTGACATTTTTATTTATTTATTTAAAAAGCAGCAGGGGAAAAAAGTAACAAAAAACCCATCACTTTTCAAACCCATTTCAGCTCTGCAAATGCTCCAGGCTGGGTACAGAGTGCTGTTATTTTTGGAGAGGTTCAGCCCAAATGACCCCAAATGAGGATGTTTTCCTGGAAAACAGAGAACAGCATGAATGGTGAAAAGAAAAGATGGCATTTGAGTCAGCCCCAGGTGCTGTTTGCAAGGTTAGTAATTTCACCTCAGCCAGGTTTTCAACTGGTGGGAACAAACCTGGTTTGTTAAATTTGGAACCTTTGGATCAGGGATCAGTCCCACCAAGGCAGAGCTAGCTCCAGGATTTGAGAAGGAGCAGGTCAGAGCTCCTGGAACCAATGTACACCAACACCTTGGTTTTTCACATGAAAGTGTCCTATTTAACCTGGCATGAGCTCACCAGAGTAAAGATGCCTACTGTTCCTGCTCAGGAATTATTAATGGTATTAATTATTAATGGTACTCAGGTCCTATTAATGCCCTGAAAGGTGTTCTGTACACCAAATTCTCATAAATATCCCCTGATATTGGCTGATTTACTCCCTTTTGAGACTGGAGTTTATTATTGGAAGAAAGAACGGTTTTCACAACAAAAATATCAGAACAGCTTGGGTTTTTTGCAGAAAAATCCCCCAGCAGCAAAAGGAGGACACATCACCCCTGTCCTCTCCCTCTGATGTCAAAAAACCCCAAAACAAAACCAACCAACCAACCAAAAAACAAACCCAAAGCAAATAAAAACCCCACAAACAACAACAAACAAAATCCCAAATAGAAATAAACCACATACACAAAAGACAACCCTAAAAGATGCTCCAAAATAACAGGTTTTAAGCACACCAGCTATCAGGAGCCAATACAACAGGAAGAATATTTCTCTTTATTTCTCTTTTTGTTGCTCCAGTTCTGTGCAGACAGGGGCATCCCACAGCCTGTCCACATGAAGTCATCCTTGAAAACACTGGGAATAAATCCTTTCAGTCTGCACCACACACTTCAGGATTTAAGAATTCTCAAACCTTTTGCCTGCCTACAACCAGCCTCAAATCAGAGCAGTGTTTTCCCCCTAGTGCCTTTACAAGCTCCTGGTTTGAATCAGGTCCCTGGAGCAGGAGAAGCCATCAATAGATCCCAGACCATGATGAACTCAGACTGGAATTGAATTAATGGGAAGTGAGTCAAAACTAGAGGAGACAACATCCAAAAATGTTCCTATGCAGAACTGTAGAGTGGCTGCCCAGGAGCTGAAGTCTCTTCTGCATACCCCAGACCATCACAGGGTTAACTCAGACAGCAATTGCTGATCTGCTGCAATTTACACACAGTTTAAATGTTTCTGCTTCCCACCCACTGGGTTTCAATCCTTGTTACCAAAGGGACCACACTGCCTGATTTGCAGTGGAATAGAGAGGTTGCTACTTTATAAAAACATTGGAATTAATTTTGTACTCCCCAGCAGTATCATAAATCTCCTGATTTTGCTTTAATCACAGAAGTCTCCTGTCATTTCCAACACCTCATCTCTACCACCATGGAGCACAAAGCAATTTTCTAGTTATATGAAGTACTGAAAATTGATCCAGGCTTTTAGGAAAAAGCTGCAGGAATCAGTTATTTCCCATTATTCCCCTTCCCATATACAATCAGGCCCGATTCTCAGCTGGAAAGTACTTTCAAGTTAAACTAGATTTATTTGTGGCTGAAATAACTTTTATTTTATGTCCAGAAGCCTCTAAAAAACTTCAAGAATCCACGCTGATGTCATTGAGCACCGCATTTTCTAGAGAAGACTCTTAAAAATGCATGTAGTTCTTACTCTGGTAAGAATTATTGCTCTCCAGGTTAAGGAAACAACCAAAATCCTGATTGCCAGGAACTATTACTTGCTAACATTAAAAATAAATGGTATTTTTGCCACTGCCACCACATTGCTGGGCTCTGGCCTTTCCAAAATGGGGCAACACCCTCCACATTTGCAATGGGATTTGGTTCAGAGAAACAAAAATCAGAGTTTTCATCCCCTCCAAGTCAGCTGATTTCCTATTTTAAAGCCAACCCATTCCAGCACAAACCTAATCACTGAGAAAACTCCTGAACTTGTTCTGTTCAGCTGAGTTTGCTGCCTGCAGTTAAGTGCATGAAATCCAAGAATTAAGGAAAAGAGACATTTGATTTATATTCCAATTTTGAGGGACCTTTCCAGCCCAATGAGTGACATAAAATCACCACCCTACCAGTTATCCCCAAGCTCTGTAATTAATACCATTAATTTGTCTGGTTTTCAACCATTTCCTCTCAGAAGAGCAAAATAACGGAAATCTTCAGTATTTTGGGAATTTTAAATCAAAGCTTTCCTGTTTGCAGCTTTTTTTTTTCATTACCACAGCCACACATGCACATAAACCTTTATTAAGTGTGCAGATTCAGTGGGATGCAGATATTTTGAAGAGGAAGGGCAGCTCCTACTAAAGCTTTGTGAGTATATCCTGGACTCATGCTCCCTCTACAGAAAATCTGGGGCACTTTCCATCTCCCTGATTATTCAGTAAAGTGAGTTTCAAATTCCATCCTGTGGTCAAGAGCATTGAAGGAAGTTGACACAGCCCTGGGGTGTAAAACCTAATTTGTGCCTTGTAAGACAGTTTTTTGACAAGGAAAACACAAATCTTGAGATTCAAGATGTTAGGAAGGAATTCTTGCCTGTGAAGGGGGGTGAGGTCCAGAGAAGCTGTGGCTCAGGATGCCCTAAACTGCATCTTGTAGCAATGGTTTCCAGAGATTATTTTTCTCCCTTTCAGTTTATTCTCTCCTAGCAGAAAAAAGGGAATAATTTTCATCCTGAAGGAGATCATTCTTTTCCCCCTCGGTCCACCCCATCTTTTTGCCAAAATACACAAGTTAAATCACATTAAACCACCCAGAACTGCTTCAAACCCCAAAACCAAAAGCGGAGCCCAAAGCAGAGCCCAGATAAAAAGTCCTCCGATAGGGTTTATTTTAGCTGTATTTTTCACAGCTTTCACAATTCAACCATGCAAAACCAGCTGATTGTATCAGGCTTGTCTCAGGCACATGAGTTTTTGTAGTTAATGAATAATTAGCTCTGAGCTTCTACTTTGATGAATATCTGGATGTTCTACATGACAGGGGTCAGTCAAAGACAAAAATAACCACTTTTTATTAGCACAAAATAGAACACAAAAATAAATGTGCCTTTTAAGGATGCTCACACAATGCCCAAGGCACCTGCACACCAAGACTCCAGATGAGACAACAAAAGCTCTTGCAGATAAATTCCATAGAATTTGGATCCAATTCCCATCCCACCACAACTCTTAGGAAAACCCCAACCTTTCTGCAGTAAGGCTGTGAAAGAATGAAGTTTAGAAAAGAACTTTTCCAAAGGTTTGTGCCATATAAACAACAGGAATTCTTTCACTGATCCCATCTCCCACATCTGATTTTTCTTAGGTTCAGTCTCATCTCAAAGACGGACTTCAGAAATTCATCAATGATCACAGGACAGCAGTGCCAAACCACTAGAAAAGCGCTTTGGGGAGGAAAAGCTGCCAGTCTGTCCTTGGAAAACTCCTTCCTACTATTTTCATCACAATCAGAAAAAGATTAAATGTCATCAACATACTTAAATATTTTTTTTAATTACAACTGCAGGTTAAAATTTATGACAGGTGGGTTTTTTTTAACGCCTGGAACTCCTCAGGTAGATCTTGGGGGTTTGCCACCCTGCAGGAGTACTTTTCAAGCCAGCTTTTTTCCAGATGCGCTCCAAATCTTTCTCAAATTTTATCTAAAACAGGGATAAAAAATAAAAATTAACACAGCTTAGAAGCAACAGCCACTGCCTACGTGTCCCAAGGACAGTGTAGGTGTAACACACACAAAGGAAACAAAGGTTTCAAGTGTCAAAATATTGAATTTTACTGCAGAAAATACATCAGAAGACATTAAAATGCACAAGAATTTTGGTATCATTTTAAAAGTCCTGTGCAAGGAAAACTGAGAAGGTGGACAATGAAATGGTAAGGAAAATAAGATTTTACAGAGTTCACTGAAAATCTGAAGCAGTGGAATTACAATTAACCCCAATTTGCATCTGGGCAAAGTGAGAATTCCTAGAGAGTTAACTAAACTATATCCCATGAAAGGCAGTGCTGAACAAGAATATCCCAACTTGAACAAGCCCCCATGTCTTCCCTCACCTCTTCTATTAAAGGAAGTAAAAGGCTTCTATATAAAAAAATAAAATAAGAAGCACTTGAGGACGGTGGCAAGACAGGGAAGAAACAAAGATTAAAGCAGTCTCCCTGATCCAAGGTAGACACATGATTTCATCCTTCACACAAATGCTAAAATTCATCGCCGTTATTCACACATATTTGTAAATTACTGTCATGGAAGAAAAGTTATGCCCAGCAATTACCACTTTTATGTTTGGAATCACAGATTCACTGAGGCTGGGAAAGATCTCTGAGATCATTGAGTCCAGCTGTGACTGATGTCCACCCTGTCACCCTGCACTGAATGCCAAGTCCAGGCATTCCTTGGACTCCTCCAGGGATGGGGACTCCAAACCTCCCTGGGCAGTTCCAACGCCTGACCACCCTTTACATGGAGAAATTTCTGCTGGTTTCCTATCTGACCCTCCCCTGGTGCAGCCTGAGGGTAAATGCTGAATTCATTCAGGCTTATTTTTCCCCAAATCCACTTAAATCCATCATCCAACACCTGAACAGAGGCTGGTTTGATGTGTGGGCACATTTCTGTCAGGGAACTCTCCCTCCCCTGAGCTCACCTGACGCTTCTTCTTGCGCCCCTCCTTTATCCTCCTGCGGATGAACTTCCTCCTCTTGAGCAGCTTCTTGTACTTGTGCCTGTTCATTTTCCTCCTGCGGATCTTCAGGACATTTCTGCACTGCACTTTGTCACCCAGGGCTCCCTCTCCTTCGCCAACATACCCAGTCCCAGCAGGAGGGGGACACTCGGAAGGCTGTGGGCTTTCGTGGCTCACTTCTTCCTGAGCCCCCTCAACTTTGGGGAGGGAGTACCTCACTGTCAGCCAGCTCTCCAAGGGGCTGATGGAGAGTTTCCTAGGAATCAGGATCTCCTCCAGCTCAGGGTCCAGCATGTGCCACTGGTGGGGCTGTGCCCCACTTGTATTAGGGGGCTGGGTGCTGTAGCGTGCGGACGGAGAGCGGCAGCAGAGGAAGGAGGACACTGACCTGGGCAAGAGGTGGCCTTTGGGAGAAAGGGGTTGCACTTAAAAGGCAGAATTTTCCAGCAGGAGCACAAGTAAAGCTCTGCCCAGCTCTCAAAACGCCAGACAGCTCTGGCTAGATCAGGCTAATAAAAGGAAACCCTCACAGAAGTTGTATCCTCATCACAAAAGCAAGGAAGAAATTTCGATTTTTATTTCTAACAATGCTGTCATCTTAAAAATATATTATTCTTTAACGGGTAAGCTGCCCAGGTCACCCAGGCAGAGCAGGGTGGAAGTTCCCCTTCACTGGGAGGTGTCCCTGCCCATGGCAGGGGGTTGGAATTCCATGGCCTTTAAGGTCCCTTCCAACCCAAACTTCTCCATGACTCCATTAAGTGGAATGTTTTTGTGTTTTCTGATGGAAAATCAACTTGGAATGGTAAAGAAGTGTTTGCTCTATCAAACCTCTCTGCTGCTAAGGAATCTTCTCCTAAGGGTAAAAAAAGGTTAAACCAAAGCCACACCACACTTACACAGTAAATCAGAGACATGCAAACATTTGACAACCACTAACTCAACAAAAGCCTCCTCTCTCCTGCACTGCTTGGTGGAAAAGAAACTTCTGGGAGCCAAATTACCCCAGGAAAATAAACCCAAACAAACAGAAAACTTGGTCACACAATACCAATTTACCTGCAATTCTCGAAGCCTTCAGTAACTGTGAACTCAGCCGTGATATTAACATTTTGCTTCACTTTGTTCACTGGCAGAGCCAGCAATGACTGTTCAAATAAGAACATTTATTCAGTAATGCAAACATGCAGCTTTGAGAAACCTTCCCTATTCAACCAACCCCACGTCCCAAAAAGACGGGCTGAGACCCTAAACATCCTCATGGTTTTAACCTCAGTCTGTCGGGCTCTGCTGTGGGGGCCAAGTACCGGGGGAGCTGAGCCACGGAGGGGATTTATTCATAAAGCTTGGGCTGTTTTAACTTTAAAAACACGGTAACTCCAGCCGAGCTTCCTGGCACAGCCCTGTTCCTCCCTAAGGCCGGGAGAAGCAGCCGCGCGGCTTAAGAACGGGCAATTACCAATGGGCCGCCTTCTTACCCTCAGCCCTCCCGGCACTGCCCGCCCGGGCAGGGCCCGCACGGAGCCCCCGGGCCGCCGCTCTCCCCCTCCCCTTACGGCCCTGCCACCATAGCCGCCATCACCCACCGGCCGCCCGCTGCCACCGGAACTTCCGGCCGGCCGCAGCGACCCCTGGCGGCGCGGGCGGGTAACGGTCCCTCACGGCCCCTCAGGATCCTTCCAGGTACTGGTCTCGCTCCCTCGCGGGCTTTCATAGTCCCTAACGGTCTCTCAGGATCCTTCGAAGTGCCGGTTTCACTCCCTCGCAGGCGTTCATGGTCCTTCATGGCCCCTCAGGATCCTTCGAAGTGCCGGTCTCGGCCCCTCACGGTCCTTCATGGGCATTCGTGTTTTTTTCACGACCCCTCATGATTCCTCAAAGTGCCTGTCTCAGTTCCTTATGGTCCTTCACAGTCTATCACGGCCCCTCGTGGCACCTTTGTGGTGTTTCATGATCCCTTGTGATGACTCACAATCCTTCCTCGTCCTTAGCTCCTCACAGTCCTTCACAGTCCCTCACCATCACTTGTGGTCCTTCATGGTTACTCACACCCTCATGGTCTTTCATTGTCCCACATGGCCCCTCAAGTTCCTTCCTGGCTGCTTACAGTCCTGCATGGTGCCTCAAGGTCCTTCATGATCCCTCATGGTCACTCACAATCCTCCCTGGCCCTTCTCAGCCCCTCACTGTCCCTCCTGGTCCTTCATGGTTCCCTCACAGTTCTTCATGGTCCCTTACAGCCCATTTCAATGCTTGTCAACCTTCCCATGAAGAAATTTTTCTGAATATCCAACCAAAACCTCCCCTGGTGCAATTGTGGCTGTTCCCTCTCCTCCTGTCCCTGTTCTCAGGAAGAAATCCTGATCCCCCACCATCTGTCCCCTCCTCTCGGGGAGCTGTGCAGACCCAGAAGGTCCCCCCTGAGCCTCCTTTTGTCCAGGCTGAGCCCCTTTCCCAGCTCCCTCAGCTGCTTCTAGTCCTGCTCCAAACATGTCCCCAGCTTTGCTGAATCCTAAATCCTTTGCTAAATCCTTCAACCAGTTCAACGCAGGTGTGTCCCCTACCCACCAGTTTGCATGGAGACCTCAGCCACACGTGGAAAGTGAGTGGCTGGGATGTGTTCACCTGCTGAGTCGCCTAAAACCAGTCCTGAGGAGGGAAACATGGCACAAAGAGCCACATTGGGAGGAGTTTTGGGCCTCAGAAGGAATTTCTTCATGGAAAGGGCTATTAAGTATGGGAACATGGTGGAGTGCCCATCCCTGGAGGCACCCAGGGAATGACTGGATGTGGCACTCAGTGCTCTGGGCTGGGTGACAAGGTGGGGATCAATCACATGTTGGACTCAATGGGCTTTTCCAACCTAACCGATTCTGTGAAGGATCTTATGATGCTGTGAAGGATTCTGTGATGCTGTTACAGTGGGCCTGTCCCTGCTGATACAGGGATCATGGAGACACCTGTCACAGACACCTTTCCCTGCCACACCCTCGTCTGGATCTGGGGGCAGGTCCTGATGGCTGCTGTCCAGGGACAGCCACACCTGTCCTCTCCCTTTACCTGGCTGTTGTTTATCTTCTCTTGCTGGGCACAGGAACTCACCATCTTGGCAAGGCATGAAAGTGCCTAATCAGCTGGCATGAGGGAGGGATGTTGAAGCCAATCCCAGACTTCAAAGAGCTTTTTGCTTTTATACCTACCTCAGACAGAACACAACAGATTTATTCACCAGCTGCTTTTAGTATTTCAGACCAGAACAAGGGTCTGTCTCTCTTTTAGATGCACCCCACTGTGTCAAACCCAACTACCCTGCAAGTTTAGCATGGGTTAGTTTCTTCCTGAAAATTAGGACTAAAACTGCCTTGCCAGGAAAGAGAAACCTATGAGGAGAAATTAAATGAAGTAAACAGTTCAGTAAACAGACTGTTTAATCAAGACTTTATTGAAGACACTTCAGAAGTTTATGTACAAAACAACATTCCCACCCCCATATCAGGCTGTTAGTCACCCACTGGGAACAAAGCAAGTGCCTGGTGTACACTGGCAACTTGGGGACACTCAGAGTTTGCCACAGAATTCACAGAACTACCAAACTGCCTTGGTTTAGAGCTGGGCAATTTCAGCCTTGGCTCAGTTAGAAACAAAGGAAATCAAAGGAGTCTTTTTTCTGGAGAAAACTGAGCATACTAGAGTCTGAGAGCCTACACGGGCCTTATTCTGAGGTCAGGTCATTCAATTCTGCAAAGAGCCAGAAGCCCACTTTGGGTTTGGAAGTGAAAAGGAACCACCAGCCCCTGGATATAATTTGCAGGTTTGAATCCATTTCAGAGGGTTCCAGAAGATGCCCATCACCGAGAGCACCGTAGCATTTGCAGGAAGCATTAGTGCGGAGCAGAGCAGAGCAATACCAAGTGAAAGACTCAGCCACATTGAACAAGCATGTCAAAAAACCCTAGAGACACAGACAAGAGTGGCAAGGTTAAATTGTGACTGATGAGCTGTGCCTGTAGAGTTCCATGTACTTCTACCACGGCAGAGTTTCCCCTTGCCAGTCCAGGAAAGAACCATTTTCTTTTTCACCAAGACGGTCCAGAACAGAGAGAATACCTGGGATAGCCTCCTGCACCTGCATGGGAGCCTGGAACGAATCAAATTTAGGTCATTACTGGGAATATCCTGCAGAAGAGAATTAAATGTATTTAAGGAGGTTCTAGAATGAAGGAGGATGTGTTTCTGTGTGTCACAGCACACAGAGGTGTGCAGCCAGAGGGCTGGGACAGCAAGGGAGCCCCACTGTCACATTTCCAGCACTGACACTCACCATGTTTCCACCCATGTCTGTTTGAAGCCAGCCCGGGTGCAAGGAAATGCAGAGAATTCCATCTGATTTCAAGTCTGCAGCGAGACACCGGGTGATCATGTTCAGTGCAGTCTGCAGGAATGGAAACCACCTATTAATATGCTTAATATGTTTATGAGCCTTGAGCAAGACCTCAAGCCCAGCTGGTAGGCAACCCCCTTCCACCCTGTGGTCTCCTGGCACAGGAAGAGGCTCTCAGTAACTCATCCAGACTTTCTAGGAACTCTGAAAGTTCTACCACCACAAACTTACTGCTGAAAGATGAAACTAAGTTGTAATGGAAGATAAAGTAGCATTTGAAACACCTCAGGAGCTGTGAGGAGAATAATATTGACATAAGGACTGTGTTTTTCTACACTAATCACTACACAAACATTCATTTACTTCTGAACAGGGGAAACAAGCATTTAACAGCTTATGAGTAGGTGGTGTAGGAGAAACTGTATATGTGTGATCCTGACTATCTGTACAAACTCAGTCTCTGGATGTGAGAAAACTAAAAATCCCACCTGTCACTAACTGACATTACCACATACAGGTCAGCACACCTTTTGATGAGTTTCCTGCCTGCTCTCTCACTTGGATGGGAGACGAACACAGCTAATGGAACCCACACTCAATGGCATCAGCTCTTCCCTGAATGCCAAATCCCTTGGGAGTGGATCTGAATCAGAGCAGGGATTTGGGAGCCTGTTCTCCAGAAGTTGCTGCAGGTGCAGTGTTCCACAGCTCCCATTCCCACCCACATAAAGAACACTTTTTGTGTCCACAGAGGGGCTGGACACCTTCCTAAGGTCAGCTTGGTCTCCACCTGCCCTCAGCCAGAGAGCACAGCCCACAGGAGCCCACAGACCTTTGCTATCCTGTAGGGATAGACCTTGAGGAACATCTCATTTGCCTGGACGAGCTGCATGGAGGCAGCAAGAGAGGACATGTTGATGATGGCAGCTCTGTGACAGCCCATTCCAGTGCCCAGCTGTGCTGCCTTCCTCAGCAGGGGGAGGAATGCCTGTGAAAACCAGAGATTGCTTTAACTTGGTGATTTGGGTTGGAATTGAATCATTCCCTCATTCAAAGCAGGAATCCCAGCACAGTTTTGTGCCACCAGCACAACGTGGTGATGGCTCCTCAGACCCAGTGGCCGGAGGAAACTTTCCTCCAGCAGCCTCTTCACCCACCTGCCATGCAGTGATGCACACCAGGTGCACAAACAGCAGCTCTGACTGCTCTCCAGACAGGCAGGTCTGCGTCAGAACTGTCTCTGTGCAGTTCCAAGGGGACAAATACCTGGACAAGTCCAGCTTCACTAGTGGAAAAGCTCCAGATTAAGCCCATCCCTCCCAGTCCTTACTTTGGTGACCATCAGCTGGGCAACGGTGTTGGTTTCATAAATGGTGAGCATGGTCTCTGCTGTGACCTCCTCCAGCGAGGCAAGCACATTGATGCCAGCGTTGTTGATGAGGCAGTTCAGGCCTTTGTCTCCCACAATTTCTTCCACTTCCTTGACCACTTTCTTGATGCTGTTCTCACAGACCACATCTGCACAGAGCAGGCAGGAAGAGCCCCAGTGAACAGTGCAGGGTTCAGGGTGTGCCTTGCACAAGACAACCCGTGCCACACCAAAGCTGAGGCTCAGTGGGGACATTTGGGCAGCACACAGGTGAAAATGCACAGATTTTACATCACTCAGACTAGTTTTTTAAGGTGCACTCACCTAAGCTGAACAAATTCCTGTACATAGAAATGTATGTAATGCAATGTCCCTTTACTCACCCAGTTGCAGGAGCTTGATGTTGCTGTATTGCTTGCTAAGCTGCTGCAGTTCCTAGGAAGAAATTTTTTTTTTATTTTATATATCTATACATATATAAAAAAATATGTATATATATAAAAAATACATATCTCCATGGCTATTACATAAATCACTTTGAATTCTGCACCTCCAAAATTGCAGCTGAAATATTTTCATTATTGGACTGAAGGCAGTGATTCTCCTTTGTTTTCCAACCTGCTGAGCAGCTTTCATAAGAGCCAGATCAAGAAATTAGACTCTTCCCCTACTTAGTCCAGATTCCAGTGTGCTGGATTTTTAGTGGGATATTTCTCATTTTTAGTGCTCAGTTCTCAGCATTCCAGTAAAAATCCAGTGCCTCCACAATTCTGTAAGAAAAGCATAATTCTCCTGAAGCTCAGCTAGTGCTGGACATCACTTCAGGGCAACAGGAACACTTTTAAAAAGCCATTTGGAATTCCTGTTTGCAGGAAAAGTTCCCCAGCAGTTTCCCCATGGGAATTCCATTTCCCCAGCAGTCTTGTTAGCGTCAGTTCTTGTAAGCAGAGGTGAAGCCCACCATGAAATCAGTCCCAGGCACAGCCACTGTCCAGGAGAACAATTCCCTCCCTGCTGGAACTCACCCATCTGCCTGTCAGCACAGCAGGCTGGTGTTCCTGCAGAAATCTGTGCTCCCCGGTGTTCCGGCTGCACAAAGTGTGTCCAAATTGAATTTATGGGCCCAGCTGGAATACTCAGGTTTCTGTGCCATGAAGCCAAGTGGGAAGTGGCCAAAGACAGCAGATGGATTCCATATTCCCAATCATGTTCAGGAGACACAGCAACCTGGCCAAACATTCCAGCCCAAGCAAATCCCTTTCTTTAGAAGCCCTTTGGGAATAGGGGTCAGGAGGGCAGGTTTGGAAAGAATCCTTCTCTGCCCTTGGAGACACTTCAGGGACTCTGTGTCCTCTGACAAACCATAATGGATCACATCTTTTATCTCACATCAGACCCTGCAGGGTTCTCTCCAGGCTTGTTTGGGAGATTTGTTCTCCCACCGAGGCCAATCTACAACTGCAGTTAAGGCTATTAAGGGGAGAGGGAAGGAAAAACAGGTCAGAAGCATAAAACCAGAAGACATTCCTTGCTTTGTACAGGGCTTGGTGGGACAGATTTCCATAAATTAAAGGCCCAAAACACACTGTCTTGTTTCCTGATAGTCCAGGATGAAATAGCTCTACCATGTCAAGGCCTGCAGTAATTCTGTGCCTTTGCACTGTCACTGGGTTTCAGTTTGACAGTATCACTTAGTGTCTAATAATCTCCAGGAGCACTCTGGCTTCTCAAGGTTTGTCCATTTATTTATAGTTCATTTATTTATATTCTTTACTGTGCAAAGAAATGAGCTACCAACTCCTGCTGAAAGGCCAGAGCTGCTTTGAGTAGCAACAGCAACTGAGAGGCTTCTGAAGTGAGTAAGCAGTATTTTCAGTTAAGAACTGAAGCGTTCTCCAGTACCATAGCATGAAATTACAATAGCTGCATGCAAATTAGGTTTAAAATTCAATGGGTTTTCCAGTTAATTACTTAGTTAACAAGTGACTCCCACTTCAGGGGTTTACATTTCTGAGAAGCAGCTCCCAGGCACAAAGCTGATCTAGACAGCTTTGGTCTTGAAGAATGTTACACCTGATATAAACTGAAAAATCCAGTTAGAACATCTAAAACTTGCAGGAAAGCCTATTTCTCCCCTCCTGTGACTGGAAGGAACATGAGAGAAGGAGGACTGAGACAAGTAGGTACAGCCAACATATCCCAGCTAAGTAATTTTTAATTAGTGTGCTGTGACAGATAATTTAAAAACAAACGGGAAAAATAAAACCCAACAAAAAGCAACAACACAACCCCCCCTAACACTGTGTTTATTTAGCACAGTAGCTGTAGAACTGCTCTGCACCTGAACAATCACCCCTGAGAATCAGCTCATACGGAGTCCAAGACAAGAATGAAACTCTGATTAGCATCTGTTGATTCCTGCTTGCTGTTTTTTAATTACGATTAACAAAGAGTCAGCCTATTCTGATTTAAACAAGATCCTCTGGCACTCAGGGCTCCTGACACAGACTCATCAGCACACAGAGTATTTATTGCCAGATTTCAACCAGGAATGTTTTGTTGTCTTTGTCATTTAGCAAGATTTACTTTGCCATCTTTATGAAAGCATTATCCACTTCAGTTACAGCTCTTGGAAAGGGCCTGGCCCCACTCAGCCAGTTGGAAGCAATCAAGCCAAACAAACACAGCCTTCGGGCAAGATAAAGGTGCTTGGGAATCCTTCACCTCATCCTGCTTGCACTCGGGACAAAGCCAGAGGTGTATCCTATTTTTCTGTGTCCCTCTGAGACAGCTTTTCAGTATCACAGTGTACAGCCAGCTCACTGTTCAACCGTGGAACAGCTTCCACAGCAGTGCCCTGACCCGCAGCTCTCTCTTACTTTTGAAGAGCCAGACCTCACTGCTGTAGGAAGTGTAAAACACGTTCAGGGAAAAAAAAAAAACCAAACAATACAACCCTGCAATAACCCAAAATTAGAAATACTTCAAGAATGCCCTCTCTGATATACATTCAGAAATGCCCCCTTTGCCTGATAGATCTGGTGCACATATCACTCAGCTGCTCTTTCCAGTTGCAAACCACATGGCTAAAATATGTGTTAAAGGGGAAAAAAGAAGCCCTAAAGCTGACAGTGACAGTGAGCAGAGAGCTCCGTGTCTGACAAGGGAACGGGCACAGTTTGTAACAGAATCTCCTGCTTCAGAGCAAGGAAAACTGCACATTAAGCCCTGGAAGCTTCCCAGAGTTCTGTAGAGGACTCGAGCAGTGAGGAATTTGTTCACCTGGGAACTCACTCGAGCTGTGGGGAGAGCAGGAGAAACAGGAGATGCTCCTGTGCAGATCCCACAGCTCTGGGCACCACAGATTTATTCACCCCGTGGCCATCGCCTCCTTCCCCCATCACACAGGGGTCTTCAGGGACTGTACCATTTTTAAGTGCAGTCCTTTAGGGCAGAGTTTTTCCCCTTTATGGGAAAGCAGGATGAGGGAAGAAGGAGCAAAGAAGAAAAAGCGGAGTGTGGGGAGAATTCCAGCTGGGTCCATGAGTCTGTACTGGCTCCCTGGTAATGACTGCACTGGGGTTGTGCCCATCTGGAGAGCAAAGACGGGACATCAGGATTATTTCCCAGGAGATCTGTAGCTGCTCCCACTGTCAGCGCTGGAGCAGCCCAAGAAAAGGCAGATTGGAATGAAGAGTGTGGTTGGAGGAGTCTCCGATGGTGCTTTTCCAGGAGGGGCAGTGGTTATCTGGCTGCCTGCGGGCCTGCTGCACGTTATCGTGTGATCTGTAGCCCATTTGTTAGGCAAATGTTCTGGGGAGGCCACCTAGGAGCTCCTCAGCCCCAGAACTCGAGTTTTCACAACTTCTGCCAGCACAGACTCACATGCAAAAGCTTGCAGCTGTTCAGCATTACCCCAAGGTTAGGGAGTTAGAGGAGATGTGCTGCTTTTCCTGGTAAAGGGAGGAAAGCAAAGTCAGACTTCCCCAACATCTTTGGAAAGGCAGGTCTTTAGGGGCTCTTCTCTGGCCACTGTTTGGAGGGCTCAGAAATATTCAGTCATCACTCTGCTGAGAGATTCTTGCCCAGGGTGGAAGTGCATTTGCCAGCAGCTAAGTGTATGTAATCACTTGTCTTCTAAACACTGGAAGATTATTTTTAAAAGCCTTTTAATTCAAGCTCTGCCCAACTCCATTCTGCAATGGGAAAACGCTGCTCTGACAAACCAGAGAGCAGAATTTAAACGAACTGTCCAAAGTTGCTGTTCTCCAGGTTCATCCTCTCATGCAGGAGAGGAAGTGGGGGACAATTCGCTTGTATTGAGGAGGATTTTTCATGTGGTCAACAAAAGGGGAAAAACAAAATTAGACCACCTGAATTGCTGTCAGGAGAAAAAGCACTGAGCCAGGTGTGCAGAGAAAGAAAAACTCCCTTCACAGCCCAGTGTGCACAGCCAATAAACAGGTCTGTGCCCTAAGTTGATCCTGCAGTGCCAATCCCTGGAGAGCAGGAACATGAACTCTGGGTGTTCAAAATTTGACTGGAAATTCAGTGACAGCAAAGGTTCCTCTCTGAGAAAGAAAAAAAATTAAAAATTACAAGAAAATCACTGAACCTTTGCCCTTCCTACCACACTCAGCAGTACTGCCAGGCTGGAGTAAAGCTTTGAGAGCAGCAGCTGAATTTGGTGCTCCCATGACCAAAATTCCCAGAGCTGGAGGCTGGAGCAGGTCTGTTCCTGCCCTCTGCCAGCCCCAAGGACCAGCAGCACAGTGGGAACACTCTCAGAGGGTCAGAAGGATTTGTGCCAGCTCCATGCATTGCAGATGGGGCAGATAATGCTGGTGAAACCACTACAATACCTTTACTAAAGATTTCTCTTCCTTGTGGAGTTTCCAAACCCATCTGTTAGAAATATGCTTTCAGCTGACTGCAGAGATTTCTATTGATGTCCTGCCAAAACACAGCACATGGCCTAGAGGTCCTTACAAAGAACAAAAACCCACCCTCATCCACCAAGGACAAAACTTGCCCCCTTAAAAAAGCTCAGGATGCACCCATGTGGCCAGCAAGATCACCACTGGGGTGGCTGGAACGTGGCTCCTGGCCAGCTTTCTGCCTACAGGAGACGACCTGCCAGAGGCTTTCCAGGTTTCTCCTGCCAGCGAGGAGTGACCCAGACTCTCGCCAGACACATGGCACTGCCTGAAGGCTGCTTCATCTTCCTGTGCAGGTTTACAGCCTTTTTGCTCCAGATTTTTAAATACTGACCACACAAAATAAAATCCCAAAACTGCTGAGTTGTGCTGAGATTTGCCCGTGTACTGTTTCCTAGGGAGCTCTTCCTGTTGAAGGAACTATTTCACTTCTCCATGTAATGGATCTGAGACCATTATGATGAAAAATCATAGGGTCCAGTTTGTGAAAAAGGGAACCTCCCTCAGCACTGGCTGAAGCAGCTTTAGGACAAACAACCACGAAGGGAGATTTCGATCTAACACAGGTCAGATGTCTCTGCTGCTTTCCTGTGCCACTACTACACCAGGCTCTTGTGCAATCACTCGTAGGAAATAGTGCTGGGAGCTGTGCCAGCTCAGGTAACAGGAGTTAAAAGGGAACAGAATGGAGTGAATTTCTGCTCAGGTGGTGCCAGGAGCATCTCGGGGGAAGCCGCAGGGAAGAGCAGCCCAGAAAGGGAGCTGTGCACCTGATCCCAGCCTTGCTGAGCTGTTTCTCTGCATTTTCATTCAGAAATACCCTAAATGTATCATTGTGGTGGAGGTATTTGGGGGGTGTGTTTAGTTTTGGTGGTTTTTTGTTTTGTCTTTTTTTAAAATTAAGATATTTTCCTTCAGTTTCATAAGTACCTGCAGAGCAGCATCAGCTTCTGGAGAAGCAGGGGTCCGACTGCAGATGTTACCTGTCCCACATCCTGAGCAGTACCTTTTAGGGTTTTATTGTAGCTAAGCAGTAAACAAGCTAAGCTGTGTTTGGTTTATTGCTAGGACAGTGTGGTCACCGTCTACGGTGGGGTCAATCTGTATGAAAGGAACCAAATCCCCCAGAAGGAACAGACACAGGGGCTTTGTTTGCTTCCCTCTGCACGTGCCACGGAATTTGCCTTCTGCCTTGCTTTAAGTAGGGGAGATGCAGGAATGGGACTGTGGGTATCAATTCTCCTTCCAAATGTCTGGGCCATTCCAGAGGGGTTTGAAATAGTCGCAGGGCTGAGTGCTCTGCTTCCTGCAGCTCTGGAGCACCGCAGGGAAGGAGCAGGAAGATGGGTACCTGTGTGTGTTTCTGTGCTGCCCAAATTCCCCCTCACCGAGGGGAGCTGAGATCAGCCTAGACGCGACACTGCTGGGCACAGAGTGACTGATCACCCTCAGCTATTTGCCTCCCAAAAGTTTGAGGTGTGTGTGAAATTTGTGTGGCAGTCTTTTATAGAAGTTTTGGGACTGGGCAGTCCCCAAACTGCTGCGATGCTGCAGCAGCAGAGACTTGGGCTGAAATGGGAGAGAGAGGGCTGCAAGTGTATCCACGAGCAGCAGGTAACAAAAGCTGTTGCCAGCAGAAACTCTGACCCCTGCCCAGGCAGGACGGCCACTAAGAGAAGTGTTTAATTCATTGCTCATTTGGTCTTTCTCACTTGTTGCAAGTGCAGCAAAGAGGCAGACAGGGCAAGAGGCTCCTGCTGGGGACACAGACACGCCGTACGTAGAGAGAGAGAAGGAAAGCTGTGGCAGGTCCCACGGGAAAGGTTTCTGAGGGATGATGGGCTGCCACTGCAGGGCTCCGGGCTGTGCAGATCTGGAGAACAGGACAGACATCTCCAGCAGCAAATCCAGAGAGAAACTCGGGGATGAAAAGAAGCGTTGGAGATGCTGCAGCTGCCCGGCCGTGTCCCGCTCGCTCTCCTCCCGGGAATGCTCCGTATCATCGATAAACGCCAGCTCCAGCCCCGGGGAGCTCCCTGCTATCCTGGCCCAGCTCCTAACCCGGACGGGAGCTCACTCCCGGCTCCATCCCAGCCCGGGCTCTCGCTGCCAGCACAGGGATGCTCGAGATGATTCGCGCTTCCAAGTGCCTTCTCCTCCCTCCCGACCCCTTTACCCCACCCCGGGGACCCCGGGCGCCCCCGCACCGCTTACCTGCGCCTTCTCGGGGTACCGGCAGGTCGCAAAGACCAAATCCGGGGAGGGGCTGGCGGCTGCGAGCCCCCGCACCAGCCCCAGGCCGATGCCGCGGCTACAGCCGGTGATGAGCACGGAGCGGCAGCGCGGCTGGGCCATGCTGCCTCGGCCCGGTTCGCTCCGCTCCCGGCGCTTCCCAAGCCCACGCGATTCTCAACCTGCGCTGTGCGGAGCCGGGCCCACCGCCCCGGGCCCGCCCCCGCCCCGGCGCCGCCCCCGCCCGGCTCCGGGAGAGAACGGGCTCGGAGAGCGGCCGGGGAAGGGGAATTGGCTCTTCCCCCTGCCACCGCGACCCGAGCCTGTCCCGCTCCCGGGCTGGTACCCAAACCCTGCTCCACGAACTTCAGAGCCCTGCGGGTGACAGTGATGGCCGCAGAGCAGCCCCTGTCCCCTCGACCCTCATTTATCGGCCCCACAGATCGGGACAAGGGTAAAATCATTCCTCCACGGCAGCCAGGAATGGACAGAAGGAAAGGATTCAGCTCTTGAACGGGGGGATGAAGCAGAGGCAGGAAGGAACCCCCGTTTTTGGACTCTCCAAGTTTCTGCCGAGGGCTGCTGGGGGTGTGCACTACCATTTCTCTCCCTTCCTCACCGTGCATGACCTGGTCCTGGAAATCAGTACAGGCTCCTATCCTTAGGTCATCCTCACCCTGTCCCCCAGGACTGGCATGTGCCTTCCCAAATCAAGAACGTATTACTGATCTGCACAGTCATGCAGAAACTGCTGGATGGAGGTTTAAAGGCTTTAATTACATCTGTAAGCATAATATTACTCTTTTAAAAAAAAGATCACTACGCTTTTAAAACTAATTTCATCCTGCTAGGATAGACTCTGCCCTTGTACTTGGGAAACTGAACAGATTTGGTAATTTAGAAAAATTCTGTAGAAAAGCCTCAAACAGCTGAGTCTGCCTTGTTTCCCTTTTGTTGGTTTAATTCTAAATTCCTACAACAGCTCCAAAAATGTACAGGATTTATATATATTAGAGTATTGCTGCTGGATAGCTCAGGTTTGATGTTCCCATGACAGTCCCAGGGGAGATGAAGATGACAAAATCCTTCCAGACATTTCTCCTACCTCAGTGTTGGCTGTGAGCAGAGCTGAGCTGGGGCTTCTGGAACAGCCTGGATTCCCATTCCCTAAGGGTGGGGGAAAAACTGATCCCTGTGCACACAGCAGATGTGGCAGGAAGCCAGCAGCAAGGCTGCCCTGGATATTGATACTTGTTTTTCTCTTTTCTTCCAAATAAAGCTCCACTCCAGCAACTTCTGTCTCACAAGCAGCAACACTTCCCCAGGTGCTTTAATCCATTACCTTCCTTCCCACAGAACAATTTCCTTTGTGCATCACCACAATTCTGGTGGGGCTGGAAAACCTTTTTAAAAAATCCCCATCAAGCTAAAACTGCTTAGTGACCTGTTTGTGCTCGGGACATTGGCATAGCTGGAATTTTGCACAGCTGGGATTGGCAACCTCTAGGAAATATCCTTTAGGCTCTCACCTGACAAAGCTTCGGTGGCCGAGCCTCTGCCGAGGGAGACAAATGCAGCTCTGGCAATGAATTTACTGCTGCGTGAACCGTTTTTGGGAAACTGAGGATTTTTTCCCAGGAAGGACAGGGTGGGTGGCCAGAGCAGGTAGGAGATTTTATCTGAGGAAAGAGCAGGTGGGATTTATCTGAGGAATGCAGATCAGCACCTGGCCCAGCCTGTAGGGTCTTCTACCAATCAGGTTTCAGTGCTGACCCTTCAAAGCAGAACATTTCTCAGAGCAGAGGGAATTGCAGGTAAACGCCAGGAACAGATCAGAGACCAACCTGTGAGAGGTCCTGATGACTGAGAGCCACAGTGGAGTCACCAGGGATTAAGAAAACAAAGCCTTAACTCACCTGAAGGGCTGAGAGCTGTCTACACACACAGATGCACGTGGGGCTTTTTATTTCAAGTGAACTTCTGCCAGCTCCTGCCCTGCTCAGCAGCAGCACTGACTTCCTCCAATGTACCAGCAGCTCGCACACCAAACCCACCACAGACGCTCAGCCACACCAACATTTTCACCCCCCAAGAACTGGCACAAAGCCCAAGGGATGGGATTCTCCCAAGGCCCAGCTGTGCAACCTTCAGATAACCCCAGCTCTTCCTCCTTTGTCCAGGTGAGGAGGCCCAGAGCAAACACAGCTCAGGAAACTTAGCTGGGACCTGCCAGCTACTCCTCAAGTCAGAGAAATGCACTTTCCACCTCAAATCTTTATGGATCAGGGGATTTTAGGTTTGGTGCCCAAAATTCCTGCCTTTAAGGGAATGTTGATTCCAAGTCTTGTATCTATTGAAAATCTCTTAAATTTGCACCAATTTCTTTCTTTATGAGTAGGCACAAGTGGTGTAGCTCATAAGAAACTACTCTCAAGTGAATGTAATAGAAAATCAAATACTTTAATGAAATTAGGGAGCATGAGAGTAACAGCGCAGATATACCACTAGAACTGATACTACTGGGCTGTGGGGCTCTGCTAATTGGTCTTTAAATGCTCTGTTCATCAAGCATGCAAACTGACAAACTACGAATTCTTCAGAGTGTCAAAGATCCTGAGTAAAGAATTTTCAACCACTTCAAATGGATATATAGGAAATGTCTTCCAAGCTGGTGGCCCGCACACAGCATTGCACAGATAAAAATATACTACTCTCAATGCGTGGAGCTAAATACTTTCACATTTATCAGAATTTTCTACACAAGTCTTTTTTGATAGAATTCAAGTTTTGAATTTTCTGTATATATCTTCACCTGTATTAAACAAATGCTTATTTACATTGTGGGTAAAGTGTAAAGGCTAGGAAGGCCATTTTCCCATACTGTACTGTAACACTGCAAAATATATATACACAGAGAACCTAATATAGGCAACAGGTCTAAAAAAAGTCACCTCCCACCTGCACAACATCATAGAGCCAGTATGAAAAGAGGATATTGTTAGCACCAAAGCACTCCCAGGGGGCTGAGGAGCTTTCCAGTTCCACAGGTAAGAACTGCTGGGCACAGCATTCCAAGGATGGGCCATGGAGCCGCTGCCTGCAGGACTGAAAGTCCCAAACACTGCACTACATTGGGGATGGAAATCACTCAAGAGCAAGACAGGAGCACCAAATGAGGGTGGATAGTGACACCCCAGCACAGGGCACTCCTGACATCACTTCCTACCCCATCAATCTTTCCTTTGGGTTCATGGATGAGCACAAACCGCTGGCAGAACATAGCTCAAGCCAGGGGTGCTTCAGGAGCCAGATAAACCCTGGTACTGCATAAGCCACTGGGAGCAAGCTCTGCTGGCAGAGGGAATTCTGAGGGAAGCAGCCCTGGTTCACCAGTGGCATCAGATGGAATTCCTGAGGGAAGCAGCCCCAGCTCACCAACTGTGCCCGGGTGCTGGAGGGAAATCCCTCAGAAAGCAGCCCCAGTGGGCATTCCCAGCTCTGTGCTCAGGTGCCAGAGGGGATTTCCTCAGGAAGCCACCCCAGCTCACCAGAGGGAATTCCCACTGGAAGCAGCCCTGGGGCTCACCAGCAGGAACTCCCTCTGGACGAAGCCCCAGGGGTCACCAGTAGGAATTTCCTTGGGAAGCAGCCCTGGAAGCAGCTTGGGGGCTCACCAGCAGGGATCCCCCCAGAAGCAGCCCTGGGGCTCACCGGCGGTGCCGGCTGTGCCCCGGGTGTTCGCGCTCGTAGCGGTGCCCGGTGCGCTCATAGGAGCGGGAGCGCTCGTGCCGGTGGTTCCGGTAGTAGTGGCTCTTCTTCTTGTACTTGCCCGAGTGGTCAGAGCGCTCGCGGGAGCGGCTGCGGGAGCGGGATGAGCTCCGGCTGCGCGACTTGCGCGCTTTGTGCGTCGAGTATTTGTAGTCTTTGGATTTCTTGTAGCTCCGCACCTTGGAGCCCTTGTAGCCGGAGCTGTGGTTGAATTGCCTCGGGGGAGAATCGCTGCGGCTCCGCGAGCGGCTGTGGGATTTGGAGCCGCTGGACGTGGAGTAACTCTCACTTTTCCTACACAAAAAGGAGAGGAAGAATGATTTTCTTGAATTTTAAGAACTTCATTCTGTATTTTGCTGTTCAGTACCCCATGAAAACTCATCTTGTGTCTTAAGCCTCCATCTGGCTACTGTAAAAACACTGATTTTTTAGGAACTCTTATCCTGTTCTCCAGCTTCAGGTACAGTAATACTGTGAACACCCACACCCAGAGTAACACACTCCTGGGTCACCTCAGCCTCTTGGTGATGATTATCAGAGCTGGCACAGGGAAACTGAAGACTGGGAGGGACTGGGAGCACACCCTACCTGTGCTTAGGGGATGCAGATCTCGATGGTGACCTGGAGTAACTCTGATCTCTGCTGCCACTTCGACTCCTGCTCTCTCTTACTTTCTGGACACTGCCAGAGACAATGAACAGTTGGTTATTTTGTTTCAAGAACTCATGGGAGAAAATCAGCTGCTTCCTTATAAAACCTTACCCATTTACTGGGCTGTTGGAGCTGGTTCTCTTGGCTCCCTCAGTTTTCCTTTTAGCATTCTTCATGGCCTGCACAGGTAGTGGTGAAGGTTTATTCCCTTTAACCTCTTTTGGAGACTCTGCAAGAAGAAGCCTTTGTTATCTCTTTGGAAAGTACCTGAAAGGACTTGAGCCTCCCCTCACCCCATGTCTGCACCAAGCAGAGCTGCACAGCTGTGCTTTGCACACACAGCCACCCACAAGCACATCTGAACAAGTTCACACGAGGCAGAAACTCATCTGAAACATTTCTGCCGAAGTGTTGAAGTAACTGCAAGAAAAGGCAGAAAACCACCCTCCTTTCCTTGCCAATTATTCAGCATTGTTTGAAAGGTAAACTGGGGAAGAAGATGGTGAATGTTGTCTTCTAGGTGAGACAGACTGGAAACATTCAACCAACAAATTCCCCACCCAACATCCCAAAATGTTATCCCTGCCAGAGCACCTCTGCTTCAAATATTGCTTTAGCACAACATGCCAGTGGCAAGGATTTGAGTTTATGGCCAAATCCACATAAAAGCAAATCCCTGGCCTATATGGGTTTAAACTAGTCTTAATTTCGGACTAATTTGATGTTAGCTTTTATCTGATTCAAGAAATCAAAAAGTTACAATTCTATTCAAACCCTGCCAGTTTAGTAGTGCTAGAAGCACTTAAAAAAATCCCCAACAAGCCCCAAACCACACTTGTAAGTGCTTCCCAAAAGGGTAAATATACATAAACGATGTGAAAGAGTTACTAAAAATGACTTATCCACCATTTACCATTTTTTGGGATCGGGGAGAATCCTGATGTGTTATCCAAGCTCGGAACTCCCTCAGGTACCAGACCTTTTGCTTGTGCTTTTGCCTCTTCAATAGCCAATTTCTTCTTTTCTATTTTACTTTCCAGATCAGATAAATCCACCTGTGAACACAGGAGCACTGCTTGTGAGAAATGAATTTCCTGATTACTCATTCCCAGGGAGGGGAATGAAAATCGAAGGAGTCCCAGACAGTGACTGCTCTTTGTTCACTTCCAGGCTTGCAGCTGTGGTTTCAAACAGGGTCAAATTTTCCAACTCCTGCTCTGAGCTGCAGCCTTTACTTAAGGGCTCCCAACATGAAAAAGAACCAAACCTTTTTCCTTGTGTAGAGCTGCAAGATTTTTAAGCAAATTTCTTGAATTTCTTCCTCCGTTGCTCCGAACAGTAAAAACCAATGTGGGCGATTTGGAAGTGGGATCTGAAAGGGAGAGAGAGAGACAAAGTTCATATTTCTCCCCCTGTTAAAAGGCTTGAAAAAAAACCCCCAAATCCATGGAAGTGTGGCTCACCTCCAGTGTCCTAGCTGCCAGGTAAATGCAGGCACAGGCAATGCTTTCTGGCTGAAACCTCACAAAGACATCTGTTCTCAGGCTGTCATTCATGTAGTTCCTGAAAAACAGGAGAGCAGGAGATTGCAAGGCACTGCAAAGCTCTTTGGGGCTCTTTTTTTTTTGGTTTTTGACTTGGTTTTACATCTACAAGGGCTATTTATTTCTGCATTCAGTTACTAGACTTCAACATGACATTCCTGTAAATCTACAGAAAAGCTGAATGATTTTACTGATACAAAAATAAAATAAATAACTAAAAATAAATCCCTCAAGGGGAGGGACGTGTGACAGAAACAAAGTCTGACTGCTGAAAATTCAGTGGTGAGAAGAGAACCAATTTTAACTTCACTTTTGCTGCTGGATCTCTACTGGCCTGCTCTCATGCAATAAACAAGTTATTTTCATCAAGACAACATACAGTGTGTTCAGAAATACTCAGTTATAGAATTTTAGGTTCACATGTTTCCCTGCAATACGGCAGAACCAGTGTCTGGCAAAAGCTGCAGCTCCTGGAGCAGTTCTCCCATGAAATGCAATCCTCTTCAGCACAGGTCAACTTCCAGTGGGATTTAAGGGCCCATTTCCATCCAGAACAGATTTCTTTTTGATGCAAAAAGTCAGCCACAGGAGAAATCAGGGTGTTTGGAAACATCAGTTCGGGAGAACAGTCAGTATTCAGGCAGATCTCCTCTTTGGCATATGAAATAAGGTTTCCAAATTGTCCCATTTCAGTAAGGTTGCTTAAAATGAATATTCACAGAATGAGAAAACTGTAAAATATTGCACATATTCCAGTCAGTACACTTAAGCATTATGTTGTTAAATCTTAAATACACAAAGTAAATGCCTGTGAATCTGTCAGCTGATGTGATTTAGAAGATCTAGACTTGGGAGCACATACGTCAGTAAAATATCAGATGGAGAAAAACTAAAACCAGACATAATAAAAATCCTTAAAATAATACTTTAAAGTAATAATTAACCATATGGGTACCCAGTATACAAAGATTCACTGACCCCCAAAATATCCAAAGCAGAGACCACAGGCCAGGCACCTGCAACATTTACAAGGACAGAGAGGAGGAACTGGAATCCCAGGAGTTTCCATCTCCCACCTGCTCCAGCTGTCCTCAATTCTTATTTACACAAAGAGCAACTGCTGCCCCAAAAGAGCAACATTGAGCATCAGCTCATCTTTCTGGGAGAAAGGAACTTCTAAACCTAGTTCTTGTCCCACTACAAAGAGAGCACAAACTTTTTGGCCAAAGAAGTGATAAAGGAAAGGGTGACTTCAAACATCTGAAAGCTACAAAGCTTTTTTTCTGATTTGTCAAATTGAGAACCATGCCAGCTTCCAAGTTTGGCCTCTTCCCCGTGGGCTCAGTCAGACACAGGAGGAAATGAATCCTTGTCACAATAGCTTAAGAAAAAGGTAATGTTGTAAAAATGCACATGTCAAAAACCAGTTATACTGGATACCCACCAGTTTTGGGTACTGGAAGCAACAAACACGAGCACACAGATGTGCTATTGTAACGTCAAACCCCTTTCTCAATTGGGTTAATTCCCTCCCTCCCCATCACCTCCCCTCCTCCCACAAGCAGCAGATTCCTGGCAGTCCAGAACCCCCATTACACTGCTCCATGCAATGCTTCTGGGAAGTGTCTCTAAATACCACATTTTGTCTCCAAGCTTCACACATATACCAGTTTACAAATGGAAACTATTCATTTTTGTTCTTGTTAATTCATCCCTTTTTAAGATCTAAACCCCAACTTAATTTGCCTTATCATGTAAGAAACATATCACATTATAACAGTTAAGAGAAATAGAACATTAAAACAAAAATTTCAGAACTTCAACACTCAGGTTATCAAATATACAAACAATCAAAAAATGCAGAGTGAAAAATAAAATTATAAAGCACAAGAAGCAGTTGGCCAGTTACTCTACTATCATGTATATACCACCTGTCTAGAGCCAGCCTTCTCTTTGGAGAGCTTTGGGTTGACTGAAGACGGCAGCTATCCCTGCACCATGGGCAGCAGAGGAGAAGTCTTAGTCACTTACCCTCAGAGGCTACCCTTTGATCAAAAGAGTACAGAAAAGAAAAGTCAAAACTGGTTCTCTACACACAGGTCACAGTACCAGACAGTTCAGTCAGCAGAAATATGGTCTTTGGATTCACTAAAGGTAGCTTTTTTTTAGACCATTGGTATTGTTAAAAAGCATTACGGTTTAAAAGCATTATTTGGTGAAGTTAAGGACGTGGAATTTTACAGAAGCTTCCCACCCCCGAGCAAATATTTATTAAATGAGAGCAATAAGGCAGAGGACATTTCTTGGCAAACATGAATCCAGGCTATCCATCTATCCAGTCTTAGAAGCTGACATCTTCCACTATCCACATAGATAAAAGAAATTTATCTGTGCTGAGGTTTTGATATACCTGGAATCAAGCTCAGGCCCTGGGAAAAGCCATCTCCCAGCACTGGGAACAGACCTGAATTACACCCAAGTTTTCCCTGAAGAACAAGAACCCAAGGGAACAACTCTAAACACACCCAACCTTCTCCCTTCAGCTGGAAAGTGAGAGCAAAGAGGAGGGAAGTGAGACGTCAGGGTGGAAAGCTACCTTACCATTAAAACTGTGCCTCGAACTTAAGAGGCCGCTCAACATTTGGGAAGTAGTTTGGGGCACACCAAAGACAGTGGAGCTGTCTGGGGTGGCCCCAAGCACTGCTGAGCAGTGCTGCCCAGTGCCTCAAGTGACATATTTCTGCTACTGCCCCTTCTGGTCTCTTAGAATAAAGAAAATCAACTTACCATGAGGTCTGGACCAGGTGTTGGTTACGTTCACATTCTAATACCTGAAGGTACATAACGATTATCTGGAAGATATGGGTTATTGAGTTATTAATAAGCATCTGGAGAGCCACATGCTTATTTCAGAGGGACATCCATGAGGCATCTGTGATCCTCTTTCAAGGCCTAAAACACTCCACATGAAGTGTTTGCACCATCCCCAGTGTTTATCCACACCAGTTCTGACCTTCCGAGCCCTTCCATCCTGCCACTCAGCCAGGCCTTGTCCTCACCTGGGTTTGATTTTGTTCTCCTAGACACCTCACAAATCCTTTTTTAGCTGCAGCCTGGGAGAAAAAGCTGCCGAGTGCAATCAGCAGTGAGGCAAGTTGGCAGTGCTTGCAGAGAACAGACAACACTGTGCAATGGTTCATTCAGTTCTGAGGGTTTTTCCTTTGGTTTGAAAGGAAAACAAGGCTGCAAAGAGGCAGAATAATGGCAAAATTCACCCCAATTAACAAACTACAGCTGTCCTCTGGGGTGGATGACAGAAGGAAATTCTGAAAGTCAAGAAGCTTAAAAAGAATGCTCTGAACAGGAGTTTTTTTAGAGGAGAAAAGAGCAAGATCCCAAATTGTTTTGGTACAGAAATATGAAGTTCTTTGACCAGTTAAGGCAAAATTTAAATATTTGAGGTAATTGCGTCTTTGAAGTGTCATACACTCTGACCCTTGTTACTTTTATATTGAGCCTTGTCTCCTTGCTAGCCAAGCCTGAGTGTGGTTTTAACATGCTGCAAACACTAAACTGGCACACAGAGCTTTAATACCTCAGCACATTCCCATCAAGAGTGATCATGACAACCCCAGGCCTCCAAATTCCTCCCTGCTTAGAGATCTAAGTTCAGGAGATGTTTTCTACCACCAAAGCTACCTACTGATCAAATCTGCCTTCGAGGAATACTGAGCACCTGCATCCACCTCGCCGTCACTCAGCAGTGATACAAGACCAATTAGTAAGAGTCTCTTAAATGAGAAAGAAAACATCAGGATGGTGAGAAACTAATCTCACTGAATTCACTGATTATCACATGCAGTCCACAAAGCTTCCAGGCAGCCTCCTCAAAGCTTTACAGAATATGAAACATTGGTTATATAGTGAATTTATAAAGTACAAACCTTATGAGGGTGCTTCACATGAACACAAAATCCCAACTCCTTCAACACTCTTCTTTCTGCCTTAATTATTTGATTCTTCAAGTTCACGTATTCTTGATCCAATATTAGAGGCACAGGTTTTCTGCAAGACAAGGTCAAACTCACAAGATAATCACCTTAATCCCTACGGAGACTCAGGTTGAGTTGTGTAAAAATAAAAAATACTATTATTTATATAATCAAAAAACTTATTTATTAAAACAGGTCAGCTCACTTCGTGAGATCCCTTCAAAATAGTCCCTGATTTATGAAACGGGGAATGATGCTGTCATGAAGTTTAATAATTAAAACACAACACAGATAGTTCAGATTATTCTGAATTCTCAGCTTACTTTTTCTCCCTCAGGTGTCTGAGGCGATGGAACACATTGATCACGTCCCGAATGCGTCTGGGGGCTTCCTCAATTTTGGATGCCAGATGAACACAGGCCATGGACACATGCTGAAAAATAAGCATAAAATACAATATTTTAGACAGTGTATCCTTTTCAGTTCAGGAATTGAGCTCCTTCAACATCTTAAGGAGGAATAGTGAGGGAAAAACGTGGAAAAGTAAGAAAAAACTAAATACTTGACAAAAATCACTACTAAATATCTTTGTAAAATCATGTTGCTCTATAACTGTAATCTCCAGACCAGTTCCTAACACTGATCACATCTCAGATTACAACTTGCCAAGAGAGATCAGAAGATAAATATAGCAACAGATGTAATTTAATGCCTTCTTACCTCCATGGAATGCTTCACAAAAGACTTGGTATAAAAAAAACGCTGGAATAGCACCTGTCCTGTAGCCATAGCCACCTAAAAAAATGGATAATAACAGGGGATAATGAACAAAACTACCAATTCCAAAGAGAAATTTCTTTAAGAAAAACCTTTAAGGCCCAGAAAATTAATTAAGCATGGGAGGAAGTTCAAGGGTATCTAAAGAAAATCAGAATTGCTACTTAAGTAATTAAGTTGCCCAAAATGTTGTCAACACTGTAAAAACTGCCTACAAGTCAAATACAGACAGCAAATCACAATTTTCTTTTATAAAAAATGTGAAAAATACGCTCTCAGTTAATAAAATTTATAAAAAAGCAAAATGAAAAAAACACAAACCAAATAAATTTTAAAGTTATGAAAGTATGCCAGAAAAAAAATTTGCTTTTAGGGCGTGGAAATAGGAGGAATCTAATAACGTCATGATTTGCACATATTTGAATATGCTAAGACTCGATAGCTGGAAGGTGCCTGTAAAATTTTATGCTCAGAAAGCAACGAGGCTGTTTAGCCTGAAGTTCTCCGGGAAACAAAACCTTCCCGAGGTCACCAGGACTCCAAAAGAGTCTTCAGAAATCCGTCTTTACACAATCCCCGATCCGCACACGGGAGCGGCGGAGAAAGGCGCTGACATCACCTGCTTCCGGCACCCGGGGAGGGCCGGAAAGGCCCGGAACGATCCCCGAACACCGGCTGGCGCCGCGGCCTGCCCGGCCAGTAACTGCGGGGCGGCCCCGCGGCCTCCCCGGCCGCTAACCGGGAGATCGAGGGCTGCACAAAGAAGGGCCCAGGCCCGCTGAGTCCCGGCCCTCTCCCCGCCTGCGCCCAGTCCCACCTGCGGCAGCCGCAGAAGGATCCCGGCCGCCTGGATGAGCTCGCAGCCGGTGACGCGCAGCTCGGTTTCGGTGTCAGGGTCCAGGCCGCTGCTCATGGACGGCGTGAAGCGCAGCGTGTGCTCGGGTAACAGGCAGTTCTCCAGCGTAATTAGCACGCCCGAGTACAGCCGGTCGCCGATCAGCACCGCGCCGGGACACGGCACTGGGGCGGGAGCCGCGCCGGCCGCCTGAGGGCCCGCAGGGCCGCCGCCGCCTCCTGCCGCCGCCGCCATTTTGTGCCGACGTCTCGCTGGCTCCGCGCCCCTTCTCCTTCCCCTCCCCGCATCCGCCCGACGCCGATTGGTGGAGCGCGATGGGGCCGCGGCCGCTGATTGGCGTGAGGGCCATGACGCACGACGCCGTCCGGGAAGCGCGTGGCGCGGTGACGCAGCGCTCAGGAATCCGGACAGGGCGGGGACGCCCCGGGACGCGCCGTGAGGGGGGCTGGAACTCAGCGCTCACCGAGTATTCTTGTTAATTCCGTAAAAGAACAGACTATGTATGTCCTTAACTTGGGGCCCACCGAGGTTCATGTGTGTTGGGTTCCCCCCGTGCAGCGCCAAATTTCACCACATAAATTGTTTCCTCATAGCAGCGACCAACTAAAATATGTTTATTATCAAGTCCTTAACAGAACAGGTTATGTATATCCTTCAGTTGGGGGCCGCTGGGGCTCATGTCTGAGGGCTGACATCTCCCTTACACTCTGGCCTGTTTTTTTGCTGTGCAGCGCCAGAACTCCCCACAAAAATCGTTTCTTCAGAGCAATTACCAAAAAAAAAATACCTTTCTTAAGTTCTTATGTGTGTCCTTAACACAAGCGCCATGTGTGAGGGTCGGGATTCCGCCTTCCCTCCATCCCCTGGCTGTATTTTCCCAGTGAAGTGCCAAAATTAACACAAATTGTTTCCCCATTGCAGTTATCAATAAAGATGTCTTTATTTAAAGTCCTTAAAAAGTACAAACTACATGTGTCCTTAACACCCAGGGTCCATGTGTGAGGGTCAACATCTCCTCCCCATCCCAGCTGTGTTTTCCCCATTCAGCACCAGAATTCACCATACAAATCAGTTCAGTTTTTTTTTCTAGTAGCAGTTGC